GATATGGATATCGAGATTAACTTTTATTAGAAAAAAGTTCGTCCCAAGCTATTTTAGGATCGACCCCAACCATGATTTTTTCATCGACCCATACTAATCTGACGAAATATAATTTAATTTAGCGTTAGGGTTCGGGTATTAAGAATTTTTTTTTATATATATAATATAGAACTAATATAAGGCCCAATCTCAGTCTTTGTGAGGTTTTTTGGGGTCCTGAACATTTTTACTTAGAGTACCTGATCCCGTTTACTTAGTACGTTTTTGAGAAGTAGGGACCTAGTGTAAAACACCATAGGTGCGTTTTAGTAAAAGTGTATATAAAATATATTTGGGAGCTCCGGTGGCCCCTAATTTACTTTTAATGTTCTAAAAAAATCAGAGCGTAGCTACTTAATTTGGTCAGAAAATTGTTACCTCCTCCTTTTATATTAGAATTCGATTGGTCAAAATTACATGAATGACATAGTACAGGCTGATGATTAGATTATAAATGACACATGCCGTACGTACGTTCTGTATGTCTTCTCTGAAATTTATAATTTCAAAACTTTTAGTATACGCATTTCATTAGAATAAACAATCTAATTAATATAAGTGACCTAGTCAGCACAAGTAATCTAACCAAACACAAGCGTCCTAATCGTGGCATAAGCGATCTAATCCGCACAAGTGATCTATCTAACACAACAAATTATACTTCTCGTGGCATCAAAAATCCTTATGGGCAACATCCCCGAATTATTGGAAAATATTCTAAATAATCTAAATGATATTATGGATATCCACTCTTTATATTCATGTGCACTTGTAAACCGTTTTTGGTGCAAGATATCTATTCCTATTCTTTGGAGTGATCCATTTTCATTAAGTCGAAATTCATTATTTGTATCTAATTACTTTTCATCTCTCAATGAGAATGATAGTATTATATTAAGCAATTGTGGAATAATTATAGATTTTCCTAATACATTATTTCCTTATGCAGAATTTTTAAAGGTCTTGAGTTTATCTTCTCTGAGTTGGCAAGTCAAAAATTGGATCTATAACTTGAATATTAATTTGAAAAAAGACGAAAAGATAGTAAACTATGATGTAGCTAATTTGTTACTTAAATTATTTGCCGAGAAAGGTGCCACACTGTCTAAATTTTATTTACATATGTCTGAAGGTCAATATGAAGATGAAGTTGTTGATATTAAGCCAGAAATATTTTACTCATTAGAACGAAACGAGAGTTTGTTCTCTCATCTCCAAAAGTTATCTGTTTCTATAAAAATTGATCCATGTCCTCAAAATGCCATTACATTATTGAAAATTCTGGGTGATAATGCAATAAATATTAATACAATAGAACTTATAATGGCTAAAGATGATGAAGAACAACTAATAAACACACTCGCTTGTGTAATTAGATCTCAAGAACAGCTTGGGCGTTTCAAATTACTCAATAGTTCTGGATATGTCATTTCAGCTCTAGAATGTCAACAAAATTCATTAAGGGAAATCATAATGGATAGTTGCAATTATTCTAGTGCAGAATTTAACAAGTTAAAGAATTTAAAAAATTTGGAAGTTGTTCGTATATATCGTAGTAGAGATTCAGATATATTATTGAATATATTAGACAACAGTCATCATAAGATCAACACTTTAGAAATAGATACTTATTCGATTAATGTATCTAATATGTTACAAATGGTGCAAAGATCTGGCTCATTATTACAACGATTAAGACTTTCTTCGAATCAAAGTGAAATTTATTCATTACCATTATTATTAAAGAAACTTATATTATTCTGCCCAAACATCACTTATCTTAACTTTTCTAGAATTAAGCTTTCAGCTCAATTTCTGAATCTTATCGGCTGTTTACAAAAGCTTCAATTTCTCACTTTACAGTGGATTAATAATGAATCGAAAGAAGAAATGAAAACATTCGTTATGAAGTTTGCTAAAATATTGCCATTATCATTACAATATCTTAATTTGTATCATTCATCATACACTGATGATTTTTTTGATCACTGCAATGCTCCCTTAAAAAAGTTATTATTAAGAATTAAATGTGGTGACAAAAAATTAATGGATGCATTAATTGGATTTTGTATAAGAAAGAAGACTTTGAATAAGGTGCATATATACGATTTGTTCGAATATGACACTAAATGGGATGAATTTAAAAAGGATTTAGTTGAATATGTCGAATTGGTACCATTTAAACATATTTACATTAAATGTTGACTGATATCATTGAAGGGTACATTTGTTACGCGTTATTTCAAATTCTGGTAATTATTAATTAACATATATTATTTTTTGATTTTCGAAAGTAAAGTATCATAATTCTTGATAACATTCCTATAATCAAAAAAAAAAACTCAATTCGTAAATCAAAATTTCTTTTTCTTTTATTCTAAAATTTGTTAAACGCATTACTTTTTTCAAATTTGTTTTCGTAAGGAATAATTCTCTTAATGTTAAACAAACAATTCTTGATATTGTTTTCACTTTACAAATAAAATCATTAAAATATGTTTTTAAGTTCAATTTGCTGTCCAAAAAATTAAAGATATACGACATTAAATAAAATATTTTTGTTATAAAATACTTAGATGTTAATTCTTTAAAAACTATCTATATAACTAAAAATAAAAAAAAAAGAATATTGCAACAGGAAAATTAAATAAGTAAAAATCATAACTTGAAATTTTGCACATAATTGTACTTAATTTCTGTGGCTATAGCTGCTGAGTCTAAAGTTTTGTGCAGATTTTCATTTAAATTTATTATTTGATTTTTTTTGTAAATCTACACAAAACTGCATTAAAAAAATTCTCGATGCTGGGTATAAAGATCCAAATATTTTTAAATTATATAATACAGTCTACCCGGTATGCATAGTAGACAGGTTTCTTACAGATTTTGAAAGATTTGAGAAATATCATATGATTAGCGCCATTATTAATTGACCATTAATTACAAAGTTCTTATATATAAATAGATTTATATGAACCCGAATTGGATTCATCTGAACCAAAAATAGGGTCAAATGAACCTGGAATGGGTTCATAATAAACCAATGTTAGGTTTATTTAGGCCCTGGTTGGCTAAATGAACCCGGATTGGGTTCAAATAACCCGAAGTGGGCTCATTTGGGTAATTTGAACCTGAAAAGGGTTTAAATGAACCCGAATGAGCCTATTTGAACCCGAAGTGGGTCAAATGAACCCGATGAGCTCATTTGAACACGAAGTGGGTTCAAATGAACCCTAATGAGCTCATTTAGACTCGAAGTGGGTTCAAATGAACCCTCATGAACTCATTTGAACTCGAAGTAAAATTGCCAGACGCTAATTTTGCTAAAATATAGTTAGTCATTGTCATGGATAGCGATGCCAACTTAATTAATTTTAATAAATAAAATAGTTTTTAGCTCAAAAATATTTTATTTATGATAATTGCTAAAATTGCAAGATACTATAATTAAATTTTGTACTATAAATTCTAAAATATGTAAAGCTAGGATGACGTAATAAAAAAAGTTTAATTAACTTTGTTAAAAACTTTGTTGTTATGATATTAAATCTTTGAATTTGAACGTAATAATAATAAATTCTTTGAAATCAAACATAATTAATATATCTTAAACTTATTTTAACATGATCGAAGAACCAAATTTATATTCAAATGTATCTTCGCAAGCTAACACATATTCTGAGAGAAACGTGCCAATAAATACAGAACAACAAGATCAACTTATTAATCGTGATAATTGTAAGCATAAAAATGTTGGTCGTCCAAGAGAACCAATTTGGGATTATTACATAACCAGTGGCAATGCTGGTTATCGTAGTGCATCTTGTTATCATTGTCCAAAGTCTTGGAGCTGTGGACGTCCGGGTGAAATGGAAGCTCATCTTGCTTATATTTGTCCTGGTGTTCCTAAAAATATTAAAGAATATTGGCAAGGATTGCTTTCTAAGAAAGTTGTTAATTATAAAAGAACAAAACTTTCTAAATTAGATCAATCAAAAATAAATGATAAACCAGACGAAATATTGCCAGTAAATGAACAAAATGAGATTGATAGAGACATTTTAAAAGCATGGATTACAGCAGGAATTCCATTTAATATTATTAATAATCCATTTATAATTAATTTATGGAAATTTATTAATTTACACGTAGTGTTTATACACGGGTATAATTTATTGAATTACAAATTTTGTGTAACACGTCAATCAAAACAACTTTAATAAACGAAAAATTAAACCCTTGCTTATGGTTAGGGTAAGGGTGGGTTTGGGATTGGAGCGAGAGATAGTTTATACCAAAAATTCCCAAGAAATTTTTTTTGTTAGAAGCCAAAAGGTGGTTTCATAATCTACTGTAAATTTTGAGATATCAGTTAGTTTTTACACTACCTGTGTATATACACCCCATGTACAAATAAAAATTCTCTTTAAAAAATACAATAATTAATTTTATTAAAACAAAATTAATCTCTTTAAGATTAGAATAAAGGTTAGAGATTAGAGTTAGAGTTAGAATTAAAAAGCAAGATGGAAATTCATTTTGATTGGTTATATAACAATTGTCGATCACTTAAAAATAGCCAATCAAATTGCGACAAATTTATCAAAAATACAATTCTTGAGCAACTTTGCTTATATAACAATAATCATAACATGTTAGGTTTTAATTATTATTGTCTAACTACAAGTTTTCAAGTATTTTTTATTATATTTGAAAATTTGGGATTGAATAGGATCAAATGTTCTGCCAAGTTTTTATAATACTAATTTTTTAATTTTTTTTTTATATTTACCAATCATTAACAGTATTAAGTGTTACTAAAAAAGTATCAGGGTTTTCTCTTTTTACTTCCTCCACTGTATCATCTTCCTGATTAGGTTCTTCTACATTTTTTTTTTGCTTTTTTTCTTTAGTAAGAGTGTTAAAACCTTTTTCTAATCACTTTATGAAACTTTCAACATTATAGTAAATATCTTTTTTATAATATTCTCTATAGTAGTAGTAGCAATATTTTAATATTGAATAATAGCTATAATGTAGAGGCCTGCAAATTCCAAATTTTGCAGCCCGGGCCCATCCGCAATTAGGGTTAAAAATTTTTTGCCAGCCCGGCCCAGCCCACATTAATTAATTTAAATTTTTAGCCCGGCCCGGCCCGCAAATATAAATTTTTAGCCCGGCCCGGCCCGCAAATATATAAATTTTAAAATTTTAAAATAAGATTAAAGATATTTATCATCTAATTTTTTAACAGATAAAAGATTAAAAAAAATTAGATATAATATAATATAGTATTA